GGATCATGTATACACGTAAATAACCCGATTCTCACAGTCTTTGCTCATTGCTGTACCGAGATTCTGTGAGATTCCGTGATCCCCAAGGACCAGCAGGGAGCCGAGTCCGATGCAATAAACAAGAGAGCCTCTTCCATGTTAACATGGGCTCTGTCCCACTCACGCTGGCAGCATGGTGGACGAGAGCTCGAACTTCAACAAGCCCAGGGGTTTTATATGGGTGGTGATGTCACTAGTCTGGCTGATCCCTGATTGGTTGGGTGAAGGCTAGGGTCCAGTTACACAAAATGGAGAATAGCTCTGCCCTGCTGGACAGTGGAGTCAGGGTTCCAGTCAGGAGTTCGCCTCGCCCTGCCCTGCCCTGCTCTCTCACTCACCACCCTTCTTGGCTTCCCACTTGATAGATGGAGGTTTCCTCATTCCTTTGCCCTAACTTCCTACCTACTCTTATGCGCAGGAGGGAAAATTCTGGCAACTCTGACCCTCTGTTCCTTAAATTGACACATCCCCTCCCCCCCATGAGTGGTCACCATCACTGTTACCATGTTGGAATAAAAGAACAACCACATAGATACTCATCAATTCTCATGTGCGGGGAAAAAACCTCTCCCAAATTTGTCTGAAATTTTCTCGAGCCATTTAAAAATCATTCCTGCTTGTGGAGTCTGAGGGTTCAAGAGACAATTTGTTACAGAAACAGTAACCTGTCTGGCTGGCAAGCTGGTAAGGGTCACACGTGAAAAAAATTAACGCAAAACAGATCATGGACTTAAATGCACAATACATACTAATAAATATAAAACTTCCAGGGAAAAATGAGATATCAGTGAGGACCTTGACCTTTGTGATGTTCTTTGATATAACACCGAAACCACAATCCATAAAAGAAAAAAAACTGATCAATAGGTCTCCTCCAAAAAGACCCGTTGCAGAAGAAGAAAAAGACAAGCGAACCGTTCAGAATGCGGCCAACACAGGCATCTGGCTCCAGAGAGCAGGAGGTGCCGCTGCTCTCCTCGTTTCCACATGAGTTTTATTTTCAAATTGCTGAGTGCGCACAGAGGGGTGGTGATGTCTGGCGGCTGCCCTCTCCCAGGCTGGCTGCGGGGCGGCCAGACAGGGCCCTGCCCACTGTCACATTGCAGACAGGCATCTGTAAGCCAGCGGTGATCAAAAGGCAGCGGAGAACCCCATTCCTGAGACCCAGACCCAATGTCCGCAGGGCAGCTTTTCATGGAAATTACTCCTAAAACCAAATTCGACTGCAAAGCGGTTTTTACTTTCTTTTGTAGACTTCCTTTCTCCTCCTCTTCTCCATTTTCCCTAGAGAGAGGGGAATGGGGGGAGAAATGGTGAAAATACCCCAGAGAAGCATTTCGGTTGGGCTCCGGTGGGTGGTACAGCGGGCAGGGAACCCGGCGCCCTGCAGAAGTGGAGATTTACAGGTGTCCATCCCAGGACCCTGCTCAGGTTATAAATCAGAGTCGCTGAGCACCATGCTTCCTTTACTTTCCTGCTCGGTCAGTCGCTATGAATGACCAGCTTGCCCTCAGCATCAGAAAGGACCTGTGTTCTGTCTGCAGTCCCTCGGCACCCTTCCCAAAGCGCAGCTGACATCCTGCCTGCAGGACGACGCATCCCAGGGAGAATATGGAAACAGACCCCAGCGATGGCTAAGGTCTCTCTCTGTCCCTTCTCTCTCCTCCACGTCTGCTTAAAGCCTCTGTGACATGCACCCTGCCTCCCTCGCTCCTCCCCTCCCCTAAATACTCTCAAGTGGGAAAATGATTAAGCAGGCAGGTTTATCTCTGAGCACAGGCTGCTTTAGCGAGGGGAAGTTTCCTCCCCCCAGGGAGCCGGAGTGAATTGAGGATCTATCTGCCCAGTATGGCTCCGCCCTCAAGGTCCCCAGGTCTCCCCCTGTGCTGCCCCAGCGACACACTGCGCATGTGCAAAAGAGCAGCCTAGGAATGGGACTTGACTCAGCCTCCTCCCGGGCTCTGTGGCTCTGAGGCCACGGCAATGGGATGCGGTGTTCCGGGGTGACCCGAGGGGCAGCCACTCGAGCGGAGAGCGCGGCACTCTCCACCGGTGCAAAACACAAGGAGGCCCCAAAGAGTAATCAAGATCAGTCCTAATGTAACGCGATGTTTTAAACATCAAAATTCATGCAAAAATCCATGATGAACAAACTATGAAAAATTTAAAGGCAGAGTCAACAAGGCTTTGGGAGAGGTCGTAAAATTCTGTGCATTAAGGTAAAATGGCAATGTACGGATCCGAAAAGATACCGGGTGTCCGAATGGCACCAACGGTGGGTTTCTGGAGGTCCCAGCTCAGTATCCGTCCTCGGCCTCTGAGACCTGGATGCCGGAAACCGAACATTGTCACTGGTGGTTAGATGTGAAAAGGGAATCCAGAAGGCTGGTCAACCTTAATGGCTCTGCATGGTCGGAGCTATTAATTCATTGTTTAGTTGAGACAGTGGTAGTTAAAGCAACTTTAACCTGTTAATCATGTAAATTCTTGCTGATTTTCTATTGTTGGAATTTCCTGCCTAAAAGGATGTGGGTGTATCTCAGAACCTCAATAAAAGGGATGGCAAAAGGCCAGAGCAGTGGGTAGTCCTCCCCCTAGAGGTGAACTCCCACCTGTCCCCATTTTCCCAAATTAACTCTTTTCCAGTCTCTCTTCATTTGTGTGTCAACCTTCTCCAGGACACGGAACCCTGAAGAGGAACCCTGAACCACGCGGATGTGATAAGGGATCCCACACCTGGAATCATCAGAGGTCAGGAGACACCAGCTGCTCCTGCCCTTCCCAGGAGCCCCTGTCTGAGCGTTAAAGAAAGCCAGGCACACGGGGTTTCCTGAACATAAAGCTGAACAAGGCCCCTGGCAGGGAGACTGTGTTTAGACTATCTCTGACTCACTTTCCTGTTTACTTCCCATCCAGGCTCAACTGGATGGCTCCACAAGGCCAGGTGCGGCCGGGAGGGCATTCCCAAACAGGCCACCGAGAGGTGACCAGGGCAGCGTCCACCCCACTGGCCCAGTGTCAGTTCATTTTCTGGAACCACAGTTCCCTTTGCTTGGGCAAACTTCTCATTCCTCCCCTCTCACTGCCTTCCTCAATTTCTATCCAGGAGTTGTGAAAATTGCAGGCCTAAAGTCCCTCAGAGCTGGAAGAATAAACATCTCAGATGCATTTTTAATCAGCTGTGACTCTGCCCTTGCAGGAACTTTACAGCAAGGTGGGCTCAAAGTAAATCTCAGCCTTTTGCCGAAGGGCAAGAGGAAACACCAGCCCCCCTCCAGGCTCACCTGGCTCCTGCAGGCCCTCCGCCCGCCCGGAGGCTTGCTTCCTGAAGCTGGTATCTATCCACCTGCACTGCCAACGCGCTTGGCAGCCAAGACAAAGGGTCCATTATCCAACAGGCTCAATGTTCCCCAGGTATGGGGAAGGCACAGACGCATTTATTCTTATCTTCGTTTTATTTTGCAAAGCACAGGCTGTCTGTACAGAGAATTGAACCTCCCTCATTTCCTGCAGATCACAAAGGAGAAATTCCACTGCTCAGCTGGTTCCTGGTGCTCTTGCCTCAAGCTGGAAGGGTTTAAGAGAGCACGATGCTCCAAGATCCAGCTGGAAAGCCCGAGCCTGGTACCAGGTGGAAGCCTGTGTCATCCTGACACTGCCCTGGCCCACTAAGCTCCTTGGGTGTATCTCACCCTTCAGGTCCCTCACTTTCATTTGTAAAAGAGGCTGCAGGAAGCCTGGCTAACTGCCTCTGCCATTTAATTAACTATGTAACCTCCAAAAATATTTTCAAATGCAGATTTTTCTGTGTGCGTTTTCTCTCTTATTTGTGAAATGAGGAGGAACCTGGATTATAAACTGAAATGAAGTATACAAATTTAATGTTAAAATTAATATTAATAATGCAAACAATAATGGTGTGTGGTTTTTTGTTTGTTTTGTTTTGTTTTGGTCTGTTTTGGACAGCTAGGAGAATGTCTGAACCCAGTCTGCTCTCACCATCTGCAGATGAGGAACAAATTCAGGGTACTTCCTCACATTTTTCTTCTCTTTTTTTCTTCATGCAAAGCATTTGCTATGTTTTACATAGAATTTAGCTGTCTCATGCTAAATTCTAGGGGCCAAACCATGAAGCTTTTTTCTAGTGAACCAGTTCCTGTCCTCTCTTTCCCCTGATCCCCATCTGTCTGCAAACACAGGTACCTAGTGGAAAACTTGAAATGGCAAGTTAAGCATATGAAACACCAGCACGACTGGCAAAGAGGTCTAAGTTCTCATACCTGAAATTTTGTTAAAGGGCCAGAAAAAAAAAAAAAATAGCGGAGCACGCTAGGAGGTGAAATGTCCAATATCAATTTACCACCAGTGGTAAGGCAGAAAGAGAGAAACCTCCTATTTTTCTTAGGAGGAAAAGCTTTGGCACATGTGTGCCAAGCCCCTCCATCCTTTCGTCTGGTGGTGGGATGAACAGCTCCGAATTACTGCTGTCACAAACAGTCAGGGGAATTTTGGCCACAATGCATCTTTTTCCTGAAGCCATTCACACCCTCCTCTGGACTGACAGACAGTAGCGTGGGGCTGGTGCAAACCCACCTCCCAGACCTCAACTCTCCAGGTTTCTGAGACAGGAGGGAGGTTCCTGAGAAACAGCGCTCATTCTGCAATCTGTGCCCCGCTGTTCCCTGTACCAGGGACACTGGCAAGTACTGCTCGCGTGCTGGCTCCAGTGGCTAAGCAGCCAGGTCTAAATGTGCCCATTCCCAAAGACATCTTAGACTCGCTGCTTCCCCAGCAGGCACATCTTCACGCATGGTGGTCAACCAGTGAAGTTTCTCAGGACTCGTGTTTTTTACAAATTGAGATCACATTAACATTCCATCGCAGGAGTATGTGTTCAGAAGTATAAAAACAAGACACACGCCGTAATAAAGAGACATCAGAAACTGCTATTTGAGGCTCACCCAGAGATCTTTCTTTCGTCTGGTTGGTCGATCTCACCACCGGAAGGCTCGCTCTGGTTCGGCTGCCTCTGGAGAAAGGACTTGGGGCTTCGCTCTCAGACATGGCTTCCAGGGAGTCAGCGGAAGTCTCGGATAAATGCTCCACCGGGTCGCCCAGGCTGGGAGGCTGAGGACTGTGAGACAGTTTGGGGCTTCTTGTCTACAAAAGGCATTTGAAAGAAAGTGGGAAAATAAACTATTACTAGTTATACTAAAAATATGTTCACTGCTATCAAGGCCTTCAATCTACAAAAGCAACATAGAAGAGGAAGAAGTCCATCAGAAAGATTGGATAGGACTAGAGACCTAGAGGGTCAACGTTCCAGCTGTAAAAGTTACTGAGAAAAACGTATTGCCCCTCAGCATCCCATTAAGATTTTTATCAGCGAACATCCACCTTACAAATTCCATTTTGGACAAGGAGTTGAGGACAAGCCACATCTTAGGAAAGAATGATAGCATATCAACTCCTTTTTGCCAGTTGTTGTCATAACACGTGGAACTGTGTATACTTCTTTACTGCCACATGCCCTAAAATAACATTTTGGTCAATGATGGATTTCATACATGACAGCGTAGTGTTGTAGGAGGCTGCACTATCCAGGTTTGTGTAAGTGGACTCTATGATATTCATACAAGGACAGAATTGCCTAATGACACGTCTCAGAACACATCCATGTCATTAGAGGGTCATGACTGCATACTTAAATGGATGATGCATTTACCCCAGAGTACACTGAACACAGCCTGTCCTTATGTCGAGACCATTTCCAAAATCAACAACCTAAGATTGTAAGAGGGAGATTTATATCACAGTTGAATTTTTCTTTTGAGGCATAAATCCAATAAATAAGATTATGTCTAGCTTTGGTTATTACTTCACCAATCAGCAGAAGTATCCTAATATATAAAAACCCTGGGTCTGTCACAAACACAACAACTGGAAGGCTTGACCAACTGGAAGTCAGTTCTGCAGTCAGTGCTGGGTCACTATGGCAACCCAGAACTGACTGCTATGGCTACAGGTACAGTGATCCAGCACTGACTGTTGAGGCGGCTGCAAATCAGGCCAGGCGGGAGGCCTGAAGAGAGAAGCAAGGTCTGATCTGTAGCCTCTGTGGCAGCTGTTTATCAGCACTTGCCTCTTTCTTTCTTTCTGTGCCTGGTCAGCAGCTGTGCATCCAATTCTCTCGGGCCTCCACTGGGGCTTCTGATCAGCCCCGCCTTTCTGATCAGGCCCCATTGATAGGCCCAGAGATGCTGACTGGCATAGAAACCCATCAATCAGAACCAAATTGGGTGGCAGAGGAGGGCAATTGGGGTTGAGATCAGGCCTGTAGGGGAGGGCAGCTGGGGGTTAGATCAGGCTGGCAGGGGAGGGCAGTTAGGAGTGATCAGGCAGGCAGAGGCAATCAGGGGCCATCAGGCCAGCAGGGAAGGGTAGTTGGGGGTGACCAGGCCTGCAGGGGAGGGCAGTTAGGGGCAAACAGGCTGGCAGGGGAGCAGTTAGGCATCAATCAGGCTGGCAGGGGAGTGGTTAGAGGGTGATCTGGCTGGCAGGGCAGAAGTGGTTAGTGGCAATCAGGAAGGCAGGCAGGTGAGCAGTTGGGAGCCAGCAGTCCTGGATCCTGAGAGGGATGTCCAACTGTCCTCAAAGGGTCCCATTTTGGAGAGGGTGCAGGCTAGGCTAAGGGAGACCCCCCTCAGTCCCCCCCTCCCCCTGTGAACGAATTTTGTGCACCAGGCCTCTAGTCTATACTATGATGGCAGGAAGTTGAAGTTGCATGTGTAAAATGCTTAAAAGTTTTAGTCAAAAAACATTCCTTGACCATCACTACCAGTTGAGCAATGTGGAAGATGGAGAAAAACAGAAATGTGGCCTGATGTCAGAGTTTCAAAACTAATCGGTGAAATTAGTGAAGGACAAACAAATAACTCAAGATATTATATAATTAAGTGTAAACTGTGAACTGTGTGGAATATCCACTCATACTTTCAACAGACACCTACTGAGCATCCACCATGTTCCAAGAGCTATGCCGGGTCCGGAGACAGAATGATGCACAGAACAGACATGAAGCCACACTCATGGTGCTCAGAGACCAGTCAGCTGACAGGCATTAACACAAATTAAAGGTGCAATGAGAGTGTATAATTCTATCTGCTGCTGGTGTTGGGTGGAGAATGTATATGGGTGGAGGGTTGGAAAAGCATGTAAACTGTGATCTCAAGAAAGAGGGAAGTTGAGGAGAAGGGGGAAACCAAGAGGGAGGGATGAAAAGCAGAAAAGCCATTCAGGGTGAAGGGAATGGTATGTGCAAAATGCCTGAGGCAGAAAGAAATGACGAGGCTGGAAGCTTGCTGTGGCTGAAGTCAGGCTGACCAGAACACACACAGCCTGGAATCTGAGTGAGAATTCCCAACTGGACACTAAGGTACCAGGACATCGTGTAGACACTTTAGGCAGGGAAAGGGGACAGAGGGCCAGGACAGATACCCTTTGTAGAAGATCACTCTGCTGTTGTGTAGAGGCTGCAGGTTATATAGTCCATGTAGAACACATGTGTCAAACACAAGGCCCGCGGGCCAAATCCGTCCCGCCAGGCCTTGCAATGTGGCCCGCACCGCGCTGTCATCACTGTACTCCGCTGCGTTTCCATCACAATGACAGTTTATGACTGTTCAGTAAACCATTCGGCCCGCAATTTAGGCTGGATTTTAGATTTTGGCCCCTTCTCTGATTGAGTTCGACACCCCTAATGTAGAAAGTCAGAGAAAGGCAGGCAGTGGAATGGGATTAGGGTGAATGAATGTGATACCTCGGCTTTCCCCTCCGCCTGCCCCTGACTTGCATGACATGACGCCAGGCACCTTCCAGGAAGCAAACTGATCTATGCGAATCAGGTACATGCGTTTTCACTTCATGAGATGCCAATGGTACTGATGGGCTGGTGGTGGAATCTAGGCATTATATACATACTCGGTCAATGTCCCTGGTAGTCATTGTTTTTTGTTTGTTTCTTTGCATTTCTTTGTCTTCCTGAGAATGTCAATGCATTGTGAAGTGAGGCACCAAGGCACTTAACTCTCAAGGCAGAACCAGCTTGTGGATGTACAGGCTGAGCGATCACACGGGGCCCCGTCCTTAAAAGGGTTCTGTGATTGGTTTCATGCTCTATTTTGGCTGTCCTGAAGCTCATAAATGTCAACAAGGTGCACTGATGGATTACATAGCTGGAGCTGCCTCAGAGCTTCTGCTACCGAGCTCTCTCAGGGAGGCCCAGATGTGCTCCATACTCAGGAGAACCCTTTGAGGGTCAATGATCAGCTTCTTTCCCATCTCTCTTCCTAAAAGCACAAGGACACCCCTCTTGGCAGGAGTGCTATTGCGTTATGTAGATGCCTGCATCTGGCTGCACCTTTCAGGACCTTTCCATGGGGGACACAGGAATGAGGTCGGCACACAGCACCCGCACCTTGTAAATGCGGGATGTTGCCAGCCTGGGAGCTCCATAGAAAATGCTCAGCTCACATGACATGCCAAGAACAGGGCCAGAAAGGACACCCATTAACAGTTAAATTGTGTCTTTGGGTTAATTTTTCTGTGCAAGCCTCTTAAGTGGTTTATTGCCAGGTTTATTTCTTATAAAGTTAGCTTCTGCTCTGGAGATTAAGATCTGGCCGTGGCACTCAAAGAGTATCATTTGATAGGAAAAACTAACCATACATCACTGTGCACCAAGATTTGCATAAAGTTACATGGTCTTCAATGAAGCATGCTGAGCAATGAACCTGGTCACTATGCTCGGCAGAATATCAAGCTCAGATGTCCTCATCCCTGACTTAAAAAAATATCCAGTTTAGCAAAAACAGCTAAGGAATAACAGGACTTGGTGCAGCATGGCTTCCTGTACAGCCTCTGCCATTTGGTCACCTCGCAGCCTCTGGGAAACATCCACGAGTTGTCATTTTCCATTGCAAGAGGCAACAACCCTTGAAGAACATCAGATTTAAGTTTCACTTCTCTTTCAGAGTCCTCATGGTAGTAGTATGTATAAAAATAAAGATGTAAGGGCTAAATCTTTATTTTTAATTTCCTGTACACAGCCACTCAGTTCCAAATATAAACTCCTTCTCTCGTTCTATGTCATTCACTTTCTCACTGAAAACTGTCTTGCATATTGGCAATCTCCTCACACGGTATCTCCTCTCTGATGTCAGCTCACTGCTGAGACATCACTTAGTGCAGAGAAGGGAAAATGGAAATGGCTGACTTCAGTGTCAAATGCCCTGTGATTTTTGAAAAGTCAAAAAGCATTTGGAGCAGGGACTCACTACTCAGCACAGGGTTAGGCTTCAAGGGCTAGAAGTGTCGTGCATGGCTCTTGAGCTCATAATGCATTTAAGTAATAGTTTGGGGCCAAGGACAATATACAGGTAACAGCTGGACAAGAAGTCAGAGGTGTGTCACTGTAAGTGCAGAGCGGGTTTGGGGGGAAAGCTGCGGACATCAAAGGGTAGGCTGGGTGAGGGGGAAGAACGTGGGGGAGGAAGTACTAAGGGGTGCCCTGAGCGAGGTCGCAGGCTCTCCTTCTCACATCCTCATGCACTCAAAGGGCCCACAAGAGGAGAAGGTGGGGAGGCCAAGCTTCCCCCACCGTGCGCACTCTGAGGACTGGGAGCAGGTATCTTTCTCTGCTCTCCCAACTGAGCTAACAGAGGCACTTCATCCAATAGCAGGTTGTCTTTTTCACAGGCAACCTCATGGCGGGATGACGCCTCCCACAGACTCTCCAGTAATGCTGAATATATTGAAAAGTTCCATTTCTGTTGTTGACAGCCCTGTTTCAAAGGGTTCCTGCCCCTAACCCATGTTCCCTTCTCTCAGGACTACTTCTCTGCCCACATGAGCAAGCCCCTGACGCCCAGTGTTTCGTACATAGAGTAAGCACACTGCAGCTTCCCCACACAGCTCTGCTTTGCACCTGTTGTTCTAAATACCCATTAGTAGTAACCCCCTTTCCCTCTCAAACATACGCTGGTTTGAACAATAAAAGTATATGCACACCACACCCAGCCCCAACTCAGCTGCCAGGACCAAGCCATGGTCACCTGTTCTTGCCTAACCTAACTTCATTGAGAAAACTAGAGTTGAAGCCT